ACGCCAATCGAACCATCGTCACTGAGCCCAAACACAAATCATCTGATTTCGGTATTATTTGAACGATTTGGCACCGAATGTGAGTAATCTTTCGGAGACGACGATTGAACACAAAAAATACCCTGATCTACTAGTAGCACATATGAAGCGGATGTTAGCTTATCTAGCTGGATGGTTCAATATTAGTAAGTGGAACATTACTTTGTGTCTGTGACACAAAGTTTAGATAACTGAGTGATAAATTAACAGATCTGTTTTCTTTTCCCATGTTACTATTGCATATTTCACATGTCATATATATATATATATATATATATATATATATATATATATATACTGCTTTTCCATTGAATACAAAGAATTATAAATGTTATAGAATAAACACAGGTAAGTGTCAAAAATAAGCCACTAGCATTGTTTCAGTTGAATGGATACAGAAGCACGAGATTAGATAGATGTAAAAAAATCATTCGATTATATAGTTAATGGGAACTAATTTTATAAAATAAAATAAAAGTTGTGCGATTACCGGTTAGGAGAAATCATAAATCAAGTACTTTTTTTAAAATTTCAATTTTGAAAATGCCAAGAAAAACGTCATCATGGACCGGTATCCATCTTGTTGTGTTAATGAGGTATGGCAAGTTGGACCGATGCATATATGTGCCTGGTCCTACGTTGTAGCTGACTGACTGAAGAAAAATTCTGTGCGTTTGATTTGTCACATAATTAACTAGTTGTATAATGTTATTCGTCTATTGTGTCCAAGTCCATTTTATTAAAAAAAATGTTTACAACCTATCATGTAAAGAATTATTGCTGAATTCCAGCGAAACCATTACAATGGTTGGTCGGTTTTCTTTCTCGTATGGTCTTTGGAGAAATAAGAGGTGGTTTGACTCAAATTCATAAATTAAATATTACTGTGCAATGAAAAAGTATATCATAGGAACAAACCTGGACAAAAAATGTTTGTAGATGAAGATTTTTGTTAGATATTTTTTTTGAATTTTAACAAATTGAATAGGTATGAAACAAGAATTTATTGTAGTATTATGTATTAGTGCTGAGAACTTTCTAAAATCAACTGTATAGTATTGAATAAAACGAATATTTTTTTCTTTTTCTTCTTCGAAAGTAGTATTTTCGGAGAGAGCAGAATAACGTATTTAATTTTCTGTGAATACTAAAAGTTTGGGGTTATCAACTTAACACATAGAAATCAGGTCCTTTATTAATGAAGTTTTTTCCTGTGAAAATGAAACTAATATGATTGCTTCTTTTGTTATAAAATTATGAGGAGAATTTCAAAAGGTAACTTTTGACATTGATTTGGTTAGAATTTGAGAATCGACTCCGTTTGTAAAATTAACAATCTGACCAACTTCTCCTCTGTTTTATTTCTTCACAGTGTTATTTTTTTTATTTATGCGACGCATGTTAGTTTTTGGTGTCCATAATTTATGGGTATTGAATAAAAAAGAATACAACCTGTTGTATATTCCAGCTTTTTTTTATCTGAGATGCAGATGTCGCGTACTATTGAACATGACAGTAATACACTGAGGTGATACTTATCAGAAATACATAGAGGTTACTTAAACGAATATGAAGTGAAAAAGAATTTAACAGAAATAGACTGGTAATGAGTGGTACTTGAATTTCAACTACTGCCAGGTAATGTGCTGTTGTTAGTGCTGCCAGGTAATATAACAAGCAACTGTTGTACTTAGATTTATGTACCAGGCTTTGAATCACATATATGATTAGCTTAATTCAATATCAGAGTTTGCTAGTTCGAAAAAGTAATTAACAGATATCAATGCATAGACAATACATATCTTTGGCTCAACGAGATGACAGTTGGAACTTCGGTTTCGATACCGATAGTTATTATTTCCTCACTGTACAGAATGAAGTTGAAACTTTCATTTAGATTTAACAAAAATTATACAGGAAACCAAGATGATGATTAATAAAGAGTAATGCACAAATTTAACTATAGTACATTTATTAGACAATGGGATATTCCCAAACTGTAAATACGAAATATAAAATGATTCGGACAGTACTAGAGAAAAACAATGTAAAATTTTACTGTAATAAATACAGAGAGAGAAGATTGTCTGATTCCCTAATTCATATAAATTCAGTAATAATTAAATCGAGTAATTACTGTTACTAACGATCCACATGAATACATTGGGCGACTAAAACTATTAACTTTTTCATCAGAAAATTAGACTTTAAATAATCATTTTGGTGAGATTCATACTAACATTTGTATGCTATTGTGCATCATGAAATAATATTTTGGGTATATTCATCAACCGTTTACCATTGAAATGGATTGAAAAGTACTCAAGATGTTAGAATATTGGCTTAATAGTTTAGGCATAAAGTTTCCAACCGATATCAATCGTATATTTTAACCCCGATTAACTTGTGCAGACAGGAAGTACAACTAACCTTCACACAAATATATGACTCATAGTTATGCACAAAAACTTCAGCTTTGCAAATAAACGAAATTTATTCGTTCAAAAGGGAAGTCTTTAGTTACTATTAAAAGTTCTAATTACAACAATGAAAAACATCCTTATCAATTTGGAATATTCACCTGAAAATGTAAAAAGTGATACGTTGAAAATACGAAAATTAGGAAAAAACATTTGCAGAACTACAATTTACGGATGAACCAACGAAATTAAGTCTTTCACTTTAGCATGTCATTGCTCAAAGGTCGTTCATAAATTACAGTTATACGATAAATTGTTAATGATGTAAGAATAACTTAAATTAGTCAAGTATTCTTACTTTATAAAGAAAAAAACTTTTTCTAAGAAGCAAATACAACAAAAATAGCTAATATTCTTTTAACAAAATGATATAGGTATTAAGATCAGTGTAGCTTTATACACTTACATGAATGTAAACAATTAGAAATTGTACTACAATTCGACAGTTATGGCGTCAATAAAAAAAAAGAATCCTATTTACGAACATAAACTGTCTAGTAATAAATAGCTCATTATTGAATCAAGAAAATCATCTATCTAAACAAATATCAAATCATTTACAGTGAACAGAATAGATTATATTAATTTATTGATGTATAATCTGCTATGCAGCTCAAAACATGAACACAATAACGGAGAGAAAAAAAGTTATAGTAGAAATTTTCATTTTTAATAGCTCATTAATTTGTACTGCTTCTGGTAATTGAGAAGATGAAGAAAGCTCAAACATTTTCTTTTAGTTCCATCTAATGACGATACAAAGTGTATATTCACTGAAGATTTCTATACATTCTCAAAAATCAGTCATAATTTATTCGAGCTTTAGGGTGTCAGATTTAAAACGATGATCGAAAAGAATTCTATTTACTAAAACAGTAGAACTAGATTATTATTTGAATAAAAAAACTCGTACCGTACACAATTGTATACCATTAAAACAGAATGAATTGATGTGTGATATACTCAGTTGTTAACTAGCTTTCAGATATCCTACTAGTATTTCATACATAACTACTTCAGTTTTAACATCTGGATGTATCAATAGCCCTCACAATTAGTGTGGCTTATATGCAAGTATCAGGTGAACAGGTTATTTTAAATTTTATCTTTTAGGTTAGATATTTTATATGGTGTGTGACAGCAAATATTGGCTTACATGGTTACGTGAACAGTTGACTTTTAACTATCTATATCTTACCACTGCACAATATAAATTATAAGTGAATAAAAAGAGAACGTTTTTAATCCGTATTCTACTCAGCAGTTTCTTCGAATTTATGACAATAAACTGGTTAGTGTTGACAAGAAATCAAAACAAAGTTGTAAATCTTATCAGCCAAGTATGTAGTTCTCTTTTAGCTGCACTTGTTAGTAGGTACCAGTGGAAATTGGGATGTGAATTCTTATTACGTGGATCTCACACCATTCCTAGTGTGTATGTTTTATATTACAACTGGAGTGTAGAATCCAATGGTTTAAACGCCGGTCATCAAGTGTTACTATAACTTGAAACGTTTTTCTGTCGGTGGTGTCAAGATTAAATTGATCAGTCTTTGTAAATATGTATAGTCTTCACTGATGCCCAAACACCATTTCACTGCTAACACAAGTAAAAATGTACTCTCGACTCACTGGAAAAATGCCATAATTCTATTGAATAAGATTGCAGTTTATATGGAAAGGACTGCCGAATATAAGTTATGCAGAGAACTAAAAAATATTAGTTACCATATAATTTAAATAAAACAAAACATTCCAAATAACCAGATAAATGATGTTAGATAACGAAAATATCGAACATTTATAAGAAAGATATTTTATTATTTACGAATTCGTATTCTGTCTGGGTGGTGTTTTGGTTAAATAACAGAACCACTGGATCGAACCACCTACTACTACTTCTGTTTAGACAACCAAGTAATAGTTCTAGTCACCAAAGGTTCACAAGCAAACCTATTCTTAGTTGTTAGGATGCAGTCTTCCATAAACTACAGTAGAATGTTTATTTGGTTTATAGCATGAAAGGTTTAGTACATAGTAGGAAGGCATCATGCGTTTCGTATATTTATGGGAGATACACAAAAATAAGGAATATTACGCAGCACTACCAAGAAAGAAATTTAAAAGGAAGGAGAATAATAAAATACACAAATGAAAAGATAATAGCGAAAAGACAAATAGAGTAATAATATAGAATATAGAATTTTCAAAATCTAATATCCGTTATGATACATGTGATAGTTATTCAGTGAAACTTCTTAAGGGTTATATACAGAATCTTTCCCCATTAACTGGGCATTGATACTTTAGATACTTAATAATCGACCATAAGATCATGAAGTTAGAAGCTATTACATTGTAAATGTGTGTACAATTAATCCATAGATAAAATATATTGCTCTTTTAAAAATGATTTCCTTAGCTGACACTAAATTACGAATAACATCGAAGAAATATCAATTACAATGAATACGGACTTACTTTGCAAGCTTCACATACATATGCTCCATGATGGAAACCGGCTGCCAACTCACCACACACTTGACATCTTTGCCCCTCCATTTTATTTTGATATTGATAGAAAGCTGATTCAGGACTACTGAATCCTGGTAATTGAACTTCGTTACAATTTACAAGACTCTTTTGACCAGAGTCAGTAATCAAGTTCACCGCTTCATCATTATTACAAGTTATAGGCGTTGTAACGGAATTAGACCCATTGTTACTACCAGTACGATCATATAATGTACTGTTTAGTATATTTTTAAGCCTATTCGGTGAAGAATTCGGTTGAGCTCTATCAACAGTATTATTGTTATTTATATTTGAGTGTTCTTTGAAATCACTTTTCAGTGGTTCATATGCATCATATGGATAACATAAACGATGCGATTTCGATAGAGGACTGAGACCTATTAGAACCTTTGAATCGGCCTGATTAGTTACAGGAAAACCAGCGCATGGTGTATGACCATTAGAAGTAAAACGTTTAGTCAGCGGATCACATAATGTATTAGGAAAGAAACAAGAAAAATCAGGTGTTCCTGTAAGCATACGTTCATTTGTATCAAATGTATTTATACATGTTGATGATGTATCAATGAAAGTAAGCGCATCAGCTGTAAAGTCTGATGAAGAGTTAACACTTGCGTTATCATTATCCAGTCGACCCTGAGATACAATACGAACTGGAGAATTGTTCAATATACGGTTATTACATCCTGGATTAAGAATATTATCTGAATGAAAATGATTACTTAAATTAGTCTGAGGTAGTGTAAGTTGATCCACTGATGAACATGATATATATCTTGTTGATTGAGATGAAATAGATTCATTTGTATCATTATTACTATTAGTCTTATTGCTTTGTGGATGTGCTCGTAAAGATTCACACGTTTCGACAAGTTTCTGATTTTCAATAAATTGATCATCAACTATTTCATGTTCCTCAAATGATTCAGTTTTCCCTGAGAAAGATTCTAACGTAGAGTTAGTGGCGGTCGATTTACTGTTACACATCATCTCGTACGATGACTTAGAGATTGGCGCAGATTGTCCAGACAAATTCCCAATCGGCGAAAAACCACTATCAGCTTCACATTTAATTCTAAAACCACATAAATTTGTAGATGAATTATTTCCACCGGGTGATTCTTGTTTTTGCTGCTGGTGATGAGTAGAAATCTCACTTTCTACATCATTAGAAAATTGTGTTTGAATTGTAGGATGAGTAGAAGTATATGTAGGATAACAATTTCCATTTGAAGTTATACATGATAAAAGTCTATCAATATCATTAGTGCTAGATGAGATGACAGTGGAATTAGACTCATCAGTACAGTTGTTTAGATCATTATTAATTACATTAGAATATGTATGTTGTTGAGTAGTACTTCCTAAACCGACTGAAGTGGAAATAGTTGGAGACGAAATAAGCGGATATTTGCCGTTATAAATGTTATTGTTGTTGTTGCTATCAGACATTTATAACATTTATTATTCATATAAGATGTATTGCAAATAAAAATTTAAGGCATTTGAAATAATTATCGTCCTAAAAGCTCATATGAAAAGTTGTTTAAATAAAGGACAATGAAGAGATGCAAAATTTTTTTGTTAAAAACTGATAACTCATCATGGGAAATGTGTACAATTGATAGTCAAACTGTCAAATGAATCCTTCTATGCGGATTAATTTAATACATGAATATATAAAAAGAGCACTGAAAACACCGGAAACCATTAAAAATAACATGTGAATAATTAAAAGTCACGTTACATGACAAATTATGAAACGCCCTGCGGAGATATTTTCTGTAAGGAAAAAACATAAATAAATACTTATAAGCCACATTTTTTTCGACCAACTGATGTAAAAAAAGATAAAACTGATAAGTACTACCAAAATGTGTATAATCTACAATAATTAGTAGACTTATCCACATCTATTGTGTATTAATGCATTCAAACCAATAAAAACAAAGTTCTAAACTGAAAGAAAATCAGCTGAAAATTCAGTGTTTGGATTAATGAGTCGTAGTTTATAAACAAATTGGAAAATCACACAGGAATGTAATACAAATGATTTTTTTACGTTTTGATGTCAATTACCTGATTCCTTACGCTTTTATGTACTTCGTACTGTCCGTTGACTACAATGTATAATGACATTGAGTAAGACAGATGAATGTTTTAATTAAAAAAGTTTTAGTTTACTAAGCAGCAAAACATAAATGTTTGATCATTTGAATGGGTGTACACATTTAACCGGATAATTAACTAACATAACAAGTGGTAATTACATATATTCCCGCCATACTGAATGTCGGAATTTTTAAGTTAGCTCTAGTATGCAACAAAACAGGTTATTTAGCAGACAAATTAGTTACTATAAGAAACTAACTCTTTAACCGGATATACTTCGGGAAGTAAAAAAGAGAAAAAGTGAGAATCTATATGCTATCCTGATCATAATTCTTGAAGGTGCGAAGGCTGTGGTAGTCATGGATTAGAAAAGTCAGTTCAATGAAAAACTATTTAAACACACACCACCGAGTAGAGTTCTTTAAGATAGAAGCAGTGAGATGTAAGGAAACATTTTCAGCATTAAAAACCACTGAGATATTCTGGTCGTAGCTGGCCTGGTAAACTGACATCGTAGCCAACTTTACATTCGTTAAATGTATAGAGCCAAACAAACTACCGATCAAATTCTAAGGAGAGTAACAATTTCCTTAAGATAAGTCATGCCTCAGTGATGAACGCAAGCTAGCAGGAAACTTGAACTCAAGGTTTTCAGTCTACTACACCTAAAACGTGAACATACTAGAAACATCTAAAACACTGTGGAAAAGTCCGAGTGTCTAAGTGCTTAAATTAAAAGAAATCTATTAATCTATTTTCCCACTTTTTTCTGAGAATTCCAGTTTCCACCGACAAGTTAATTTGTTGCATTTTAGACGCGTTTAGGGGCGTTGAACCGAGTTTTTAATCCTACTGGGTCCAACAGTTTCGTTGATGAGCTAGCATAAGTGGGTCACAGTATTTCCAGTCATTAAAGAAACGTTGCGTAGGTTGTCACTTTGAAATACAAACCTAGCCACAGTTTTAATCTCAATAGTAATATCAACAGAAAGCATTATTATTGCAGGAAAGTATGACAAAACGTGAGGATAATTAAGATCAAAACAACACACCACTTCACCAAAAGGAACTTGTACCAAGCGCCTATTAATCCTAGGTCACAGTCAAATATGAGAGTGGCGAAGTGGTGCATATTAACTAAAACTTTATGAACAGCTATTTTGAATTGGAAGAACAAACGTCACGTCTTTTGATATTTATTCGTTCCGGACTTAACGGTTAAAGGTAGTTTGATAGCTCTTAACATAATTATATTCTGGTTTTCTATTTTGATCTACTGTAAGGACGGTAGGCCTGCTAACTTGTGTTAATTATTGTGATATGTTTTTACTAAGGAACGAGTGTTTATTTGGAATATTTCATCAGTGGAACTTTTACCATTCATTCGAGTGGATTACCCTAGTTATTGACAGGGAAATGACAATCAGTCCGCTTTATAAGGCGAGAAGCAGAGACTTAGTAAGTATTGTCTTATTGATCTAACAATCGTAGTTGCCAAGAGAGTGGAATGTATTATATATTTATCAATTTCAAATTTTGTGAAAAAGCACAATTTTTTGTCTAGGGGACAACAGCGCTTCTGTAAATGCCTATCATGCATGACAAATCTGCTTACTGCAAGTGATTGGGCTATAGTGAAAGACAGAAATATTCCTTTAGATGTAATATTCATAGATATAAGTAAAGTATTTGATAAAATCTCTCATCTGGGTTTAAAATTAGAAACGGAAAGTTTTCGTACCCATTATGAATTCGTAGATAGGATAAATGACATTCTCACTGATAGTAGATAAAGAGTACAAGTAAATTAAGCTCTATCGATGTCAGAATTTGTAAAATATAGGGTTCCGCTAACTGCGATTCTCGATCCTCTCCTTTTTTTACTTTATGCGACTCACTTATCAACCCTAGTAAATCCATCTGTTCTACTCTTTGCGGATGACATAAAGATTTGGAGGCATATACACAGTATGTCAGATAGAATAATAGGGTGATCTTATCCGCAACGCAACCATGTAAACTTAATGTATCGCACACTGTCATTTGTAACCACAGATTTTGTCATTTCATAATGTATTTTTAATTAAATAACTAGATTATGTAGTAAATTTTGCTCTGTTTTTAATTTTTATTCGCCACGTCTGACTGCGTTACACTGTACGTCCATTGCACGCTGAGATGATATCTCAAGTCATAGTGAGTTTATTCACATAGTAGATTGTTTCCAGATAGACTGTCAGTGCATGATTTTACTGAAGAAAGGTTTGTTGTACTGTAAACTATGTTTCTATGAACAACTGCCTATTGTCTTCAGTATGAAAGCAGTATATATGTAACCTTCTTTTTTTCTTAGCTAAGTTCAACTGGCCTATATTTCCTGTTTTAGTTTTATCGGCTTAATTATGTCCATTTAACTACTTTGAGCAACATGTCTTTGCAAGTGAAACAATAACTATGACAATTGCTTAGATTAGTGTTCGTGGTTGTCGTATAATTCAGTTTAGTTGAAAGAATTATGATATACTTAAGTATAGTGCTTGAAGCCTGTAACGAAACAGATCGGTTTATTAAGTAGAGTTGCCTGTTTCTAATGTGTATACGGATTCAGATCAGTCTGATTAAAAATAGGAAAAAACGTGCCTTTGATGCTGTTGTTGTCATACATTATAAGATAGCGATAAGTATGTTTGGTGTTTATTTCTAAACTGTACATCTATCACTGACCATATTTCGTGATAACTGTCACTAAACAATTTCCCCAGCAATAACATCGGTAGCAAGATAGCTAAGTGTCTGAGCTTTTAGTTGCCCGTAAAACAGCAGTATACAGTCTTAGAAGATGAGTTTTCCGTGTCTCAATTAAATGCAGCTGGCTGTGGACAAATGTTAAGAATCTTTTTGACAACTGGGACTTTTAGTTTATCAGACACTTACTCTGCTCGTATGTTTTCCTGTTAAACTAGACACAGATGCATGGTAATACTTAAATGGGAGCAAAATAATAAAAACATTGCAATACGGTACTAAGCCCATGTTGTGCTTTGCGCAAGTAATAGTAGCTGACCTTATCTAATATTCATGAACTCAAGGTAAATCACAACTACATAAATTCTTTGCTAAAAAAACATGTAATTTGGTTATTTATCTATTCCACATTTCTGACTAAATTCATCACTATTTTTTTTCATTTAGAATGCAACAGGAGTGCCTTCACAGACCCTAAAAACTGTTTCACCCTTGGAACTGATTACGGGAGACCTAACGAATAGCAGATTATAAAAAGGATGCTGGACGTCCATTTTAGTCTCACAACCACTTCCAGGATTTTTTGACTTCTTTTACTCTTTCGTTTGGAAAAAAAACAACAAAAACTGCAGCTTAACATTACCAATACAACTTTTAAACGGGAACTTGGTTTAAACCTTTGTTTGATATTCGATTCTTAATGAAAGTTCTTGAATAAATTTTTGAATCTAATGCTACTTTGTTTTATCTACTTAATCGTTGCAAGAAACTTGTGATAAGCGAGCCTTTCAGCACCTAGTTCATGTGTTCAAATGGTTGTGGACTTAATAGGAGCTTTCGCTTAACAGGCTTCCGTGTCTAGTAGCAGGGGATCACCAATACCTCAAGGCAGGAAACTAGGTATGTTAACAATAAAAGAGAAAAAAGAAATCGGTAAATCATAGTATGATACTATACTTAGTCCTTAAGAATAAATCCAGTTGCCTCTTAAAGGACTCCTGGGAAGTCGCTTGGACTAGCTCGCTCGGCAGCGAATTCCAGCATTTGACAACTCTTAAGGAGTAGAAGTTGTGTCTACAGTCCGTTCTGCTATGCTGTATCTCCAGTTTTTGGGTGTTACCTCTTAGGTTAGTGTTGGAACTAAGCTTAATTAGGTGTTTTAGGGGATGTCCAGAAGTGTTAAGAATACTATAAGCCATTAATAAATCACCTCAAAGACGTCTATAATGAGTGGAGGCGCTCTTCATAAGGTGATTTGGTGGATATCTTCGCCATTTCCTTGGGAGACCTACAGACTCGGGTCCTCTCATAGCTTATTCTAACCACCATGGGTTGTCACGCCAGCTGATGGATGGACACGCGTTACACATCCTAACCGTACCTGCTTCTTATCTTATAGCTTCTAATTCAAATGCCATATGACAAGCAAGCAATGCCCCTACCCGCACTAATGCAACACTAGTAACTCAAATGCACCCCGTATGGTACCTTACACTGGTTTACGCACTCGCTTAGCTCTTTAGTGAAAATCCCATGAACCCCCCTACCTCCGTCAAAACAAATAAGTCTGTATTTGCAGCATATAGCAATTTTATTATTCAAAAGTAAGATATAACAGTTAGAATTAGAGTAAAATGGCAGTATACAGCAGATACACGTGGTACATGTCTTCATCGATTAACTGAAATAGAGAATACGGATATTAGCTTAACAGGCTTATTTAGAAAGACTAGTGTCTAATTTGAACTTACTGCGTGAGAAAGTTATACTGGAACTACGAATAATGTAGGAATCTAGTCTCCCAGGGCGTACGAAGCACTCAGACTGTAAGACAGTTGTCCAAAAATAATTCGAATATGAAGGTGAAAATTTTCAGGCACTTTTCATCGTAAGGGTGAACATTGGTGCCAGATGACATCATATCGTAAAAAACACAAATTTGCGAGTGGTGAAATATGATCTGTAAAAAAGTGAGCTTAATAAACAGTTAATTACCTTTTTACTCCCTGATCATGACCTTTCGGCTTCCTTTTATGGCCAAAACAGCAAACATACACTACACACTGATAGCAGATTTCCGGCTTTTCAATGTTAAGCTTGCTTTAACACACTGCATAGTGAGTACAACCCCTATATTACTGCTATATGGCATATTTTTCATAACAAACCCTCTGCAATAGAATGGTAGCATCTGTGACTTCATCTATAGTTGTCGGAAGTCTGGGTCCTTTCGAAATCAGTACCGATATACCCTACTGCTGGGCACTCTGTATTAGTTTGACTCGTTGGTGGGATAGTGTTGTCCATAATACTGAAGAAAATTTAAAAAAGCGCAGATTGTTTCCTTTCGTTTTGCCGATAACACAAGACTAGCCAGATCGCCTGAAGAAATACATTGACTTGAGTAGAAGCAGCAAAAACCCAGAAAACATCGCTGATTCGAAATAAACTTCACACCAACATATAATACATTACACTAACTGCGGCATTTTAGCACACTGAGACATTAAATTACACAGCTACACAAAAGAAATAGCTGAAAGAAGCACAGAACGAAGAAGGCCGGCCGCCATTGCTTACGAAGATGGCGGATGTAATAATTCCCGCCTCATTCTGATTGGTTGCTAAGCTGAAGGGCACATTTACGAAATTGAGTTGCGTTTAATTGCAGCCGAATAATATTACGGGATCAATTAAATTTGTAGTGGTCCTAACCTTACAACCATCAAAGCTGAATACGAGGCAGTCAGGGAAATAGATGTACGCCATTTAACGCGGAAAATAACCCAACGAAGAAGAGGGCAGGAAGAATGAAGTGAATTAAGGGGGGTTGATTTTATGGCATAGCTCGGCCTTGCAGGCGTGGTCTCTGCTGAATGTTACTTAAAATCTTCTACTCATATTAAATATATTGTTCTATCGTTAACCTAAGCTTGTTCTCCATCATGTATTGGTGATTGTTACGATACGATGAGTCAGTATAGACAATGGTGTGACTTCCACATAAGCTCTTATAGATTAGTTATATCATGACAAATCTACAATTTTAGGATCAGGTCTGTTATTAGAGTAGCACTAATATCGTAATAGACCATAATTCTACCAATCCACTGTTTGCATGGGCGTGTAGCAGTAAATAAATCCGCAAAATAAACAGTTCAGTATGTCTTCATAATTATTAACCTCGTTAGTTTTAGTGGACTCACGTATTTGAAGACGCTCAGTCATGCATCCACACCAGTTCATGAATGGGTACGCTGTACTCAACTTCTCCTATAACTGCTAACCAGTTTGAATCAGTCGCTTCTCGATATATTGATGCCCTACCAAATATATCTTCGAACCTATTGGCTTCTGACT